CTGTATGGTCTGTTAATGTGATCGAACGCTTGAGCAAAATATCCCAACTCCTTCTTGACAAGGAATCCAGAGACCTTGATTGGCAAGTCAACACCGACCATTGATGAGTGAGCTCTGTGGACTGTTCCGAAGGCATCGTTGACATAGATTTCTCCAAGTTGAGTCAAATCCTCTCTGAACTTCTTGACGTTCTCAGCAGATGCCTTGACTTTCTTTCCGTCAATGATGGCAGCTCCTTCTTCTTCTGGGTGGAATCTAAGATTCTCAAGAAGGATGATTGCTCCTTCTGGGGCGTTTTTGCATGCATTGATCACTTCTTCTCCAACACAGTCGTTCAAGAATGTGATTTTTCTCTTCATGATCTCTTCGAGTTTCTCAGCAACTGGCTTGAGGGTTAAAGCTGGGACAACTTGTCCGTCTGGTCTTCCAAGATGAGACATCAAGACAATGCTATGAGCGCCGTGCTCAAGGCAGTAGTTGATTGATGGAATGGTCGAATCAATTCTCTTGGTGTTTGTGATTTTTCCTTGCTTGTCTTGTGGAACATTGAAGTCAACTCTCATTAACACCTTTTTGCCTTTGACATCGATTTGGTCGAGACTTTTCTTGGTGAATCCCATTACTTTGGTTACTTTTTAGTTTTGTTTCTTTTTATAGAGTTTAACGCGTGGACACAACAAAATACTTGTCACAACTCGAAATAATGTATGACGTGTTTTTTTAGAAGTTTTTTTCGCGGTGATTATTTTATTTTGTGCCAAATAAATACAACAAAAACGGGAAATATAATTTGACTTGATTTGTTTTTTTTCTGGGTTTTGAGGAAATGATTAAAAAACTGATAATTCGAAAAAATTTGAAGTTCATTTTTTATGTGACATTATACTATATTTTGTCTAATAATTTGACGTTTTTTTATACTAAATTAACATAATGGTAAATAGACTCGTTATCAACAAAAATGAACTTTTTGGTTTTTGTGAATTTACCTCGTTTGGTTTTTTTATTAATTTTTTTTGTAGGATTGTTAAGTTTTTTTATTTAACAAAAAACTTATAAAGTTTTTAAACACACTTTAATTATTATAACTATTATGATAATTTAAAATTATTTGTTGTATTTTCAGAGTAGAGTGTAGTGAAATTACACTTTACTCTAATAAAAAAATAAACCATTTATTATTAAAAATAATCATTAGACTTATATGAGATCATAAATAAGATAGTTGTATTTGAATTAATTACAATGGTAATGATGACTAACCTCATAATTTAAAAATTTTATTTTTATATACAACATAATTACATTATTCCAATCATTTTAAACAACTGTAACATTAAAAGATGTTGTAATAAATGTCATTATTAGTAAACTTTCTACATTTAAGTATACAGTTTAAAACAAAAACCGTGCAACTTTTGCAAAAATAATGTATACAGTTAGTTTCACAATAATTACTTATTTTTCATAACAAATAGATTTTTGTTTCATAACAATTGGATTTGTACATTTGTTCAGCCCTGTTTCAAAACAATTATTTTTTTTGCACAATTTGCGTGATTGTTGCATAATTAGCAGTATTGTTGCATAATAATATCGGGTGTTTCAGAACTATTTATTTATCCTCAAATCAATATTTTATTGTTCCAAAACTAAGAGTTGTTTCATAATTATTGTCTTTTGTTTTAAAATAATATAGGATTATTGTATAATTGCTTTGTATTGTTTCAAAACAAAAATCAACAAAAATAACCAAAATAAATTTCAAAAAATATAAAACTGTAAAAACTACACTTTTTAATAAAATTTGTTAATTATAAACAGTTTTAAAGTTATCATTGAATAAAAATTGTTGAACCAAATAAAAAACTTAATGTATTTATAAGTCTTCACGTAAAAACACTTTACGAGTCACTACTAAAGTAAAGTGAGTTATGACTCTGCGTATTTCAGCAGGTGTAATAAATTCGAAGCATTTTGCAATGTTATGGATCATATCTCTTATATCAATATTCTGCAGGTTACCGACCCTTGTTTTCCAGATACCAAAGATCATTTCAATTGGGTTACATTCGGGACTATATGGAGCATTGAACATTATTTTACAGCCTTTAGTCTCGGCATAAGGCACTAATAAATCCATATGTACCGAGGCGTTATCCATAACAAAAACAATGTTGTTTCCATCTACAGTGAACGCATCAGCAAGTGTCTTGAAGTATCTTGTGAATATTGCACCATCCACTACTTTGTTAAACAATTTGCAATAATTAGAACCCATGTCACTGATTGCACAAACACAAAACAAATTAAATGATGGAAGAGGTTGCTCTCTTATGTGTTTTTTTTGCCTTTCTCACCCCACATTCGACTTCGAACGTTGCCAACTTTCCAATGGCTTTCATCAACAAACACCACTTGCATACCCGAGTCCATGTATTGTTGCAACGTTCTTCTCCTTTCGATTCTGAGTTGTTTGTTTTCATCAGTGTTTGCTCGGATCCCCTTATTGTAACCTCAGTAAAAGACAAAGGAGGAAGGTTCGCTTCTTCCATTATATTTTTGTTCTTGATATAACGACACATTGTTGACACACTAACAACTTCAAAATCAAGTTCCTCCCCCGTTCCAGTTTTTCCATTTATTCTTCAGCAAGAGCCTTTTTGGTTACTCTACGAGTTTTTCCTTCAAGTGACACTTTTTGGCGACCGCAGAAAGGAGTGCCGAACTATATTTAAACTTTATTACTCTCTTTTTTGGTTTAGATATATTTTCTCCTTTTGCCAACTGTCCCAATAACCTCTTAAGTGATGACTCACCAATGCGGGGTTTCTCTTTATAATATTTCCAGTCTTGTGCCTTACCATGTTCGGCATATTCTTCTGTTAGCATCTTCCTCTGTGTTTCTGTTACAACGACGTATATCCTTTTGATCTTTTCCTTTTCCGATTGTTGAGTTATGTGAACAATTGACGAAGGTGTAATTGGGACCAACAAGGCTATAATATCTTCAGCTGATCTTCTTTGATTGGGGGACATCTCGTAACTTGGACAATTGGTAATTTCAACATAAAGTTCAAAAAATATATTTTTCGATGTTTTATTTTTATTTTTTTATTAATATTTTTTGCCGAAGTAGTATATAAATTATGTTACATTAGGGGGACTCATTTTATCTATATTTTATAATATTTTAATTAAATCGCGAGGGACGTGTTTTCAAATTTTTCCAAAATTCGGAAAAGTAGTACCGAGTTTATTTTTAAATTATTTTTCTTAATATTTATTTTTTTATTTTCCCTAAAATGAGCACAACACAAGAATACAGATTAAATAATTTTTTATCAATTTACTAATAACTATTCCGAAGAAGATATTTTAAATTGTTTCACAATTAAATCAGGAACTATTAAATCAGCATCTACTAAAATTGATAATAAAGAATGTAGAAAAGAATTAATTGCTATGGGTATTAACACAAGAGATTTATATTTACATTATAAAGTAAAATTAGAAGCTCAATTAAAAAGAATTGAAGACAATAAGAAAAGTATTATTAAATTAGAACAACCATTTTTAACAAAAGTTTTCAATAAATTAAACAAAACTGACAATCAAACTTTTGGTTTAATTAATACAAAAGCAACATTAATTAAAGATTTAGATGATGAAAAAGAACTAAATAAAAAGAATTTATAATGGGCTTTAAATAATATTTCTTTTGATAATATTGAAGATAATGATGATTTGATGAGAGAAGATATATAAAAATTTGATGAAGAATTAATAATTTACACTGAAAGGAATAATTATTTTAAAGAATTAAAAGAAAAAGAACAATATGAAAATAATATGAGAAATTATAATGATATGATAGAAGAATTAGAACAACAACAACTTTATAATGATAATATGGAAGAATATAACGATATAATAGAAGATATTAATGACAATTCTGAAATTAATACTAAAGTAACATAAACTGTTTTTCAAAAGTCTGTACTGAGGTATCCCGATTTTTTGCATTTATTTTGTTTATTATTTTTGGGAATCGTTTTTAGTAATAAATTCGCTTATTTTTTCCAAGTAAAAAAGTGAAAAACAGTCTTCAAAAAATATTTTTTTACTTGAAGAATTTTTAAGCATAAAAAAAATCCATATAAAATTTGAAGTAACTGGATTTTTGTTTTTGAAATACACGTGAATTATCCCAAAAGTGCATTTTAGTACAAAGGCAAATAAACTTAATGTCAATCTTTTTCATTATCAAACATTTTAATAATTAATGAAAATATTCACAAAACAGAAGTTTAGTTCGAAGTATATTATGCTTAATAGTGTTGTCACAAAAACAATAAAAATGACAAAATGATTTGATAATTTATCTTCGTTGTTTTTTAAAAAGTCGACATTCTCTTTAAGCATTCAGTGAGAACATCTTTTTTAAAATATCCAATAACAAAACAATAATGTTATTTTGTATTATTTTTCTAGTGTTGTTCTTTGACAATTTTACTTATGTCAGTCAAAATTATCAAACATTTGCTGTAATTTATTTTTTGGTGTTTTTGGAACTCTTTATTTCATTATTTTTTATTCGGAGAAGATAACCACAGTTTGTTTTTAATTAAAAATGAAAAATTAACGAGAGTAATATTCAGTTAAAACTCGACACAAACAACACCATCCCAATTCACTTAAACGTTAATTGTTGTGCTTTTAGGCCAACAATGCTGTGTATATGTTGTGAAGTATCGAGTTATGGTCAAATCAAATAACGGGATCGGGGTTTTTTGAAAAAGATGGCTAATATTCCGATATTTTCCCGAATTTGTACGAAAATAATTGAACATGATTGGTATTTTTTTCAAAATAAAGTCAGTACTTTCGATTTTTTGTTTTTTATTTTTTTAGGAAAAAACAAAAATAAAAACGGGACTTTAGGAAGTTCTAAAAATATGACAGTACCGACTTTTGAAAAACAGTTTATGATAAAAAATTTTTATGCTGATCTTAGATGTGGTTTTAGAGAAAAATTAAGAAGAATTCAATTAGTAAGAGAGTATTTTAACGATTTAATTAAAACTACTTCGTCAACTACTGATATAGTTTATAATTATCACCATAGTCAAGATGGATGGAAATCTTATATGTTAAATACTCAAGACGCAATAGACGAATTTTTTAGTTCTGTTTCTGAAGAATCTATGGGTTTTATTAATATACAAGAAGATAATGATGGTATAGATTCTACTTTTTATGTTAAACAAACTATTCCAGAACCACTATTCTTACTTGAATTAAAAATTTCTCCATATCATTAAGAAAAAGATCTTATTCATAAATATAAAACTACTGGTGGTTCTTTCTTCCCATACAGATATAAAGAAGAATTTAGTTGATTTGGAAAATATCTTGCTAAAGCACAAATATTCAGTTCATTATTTGATAAAAATGGAAAAATTAGATCATAATTTGATTTAAATTGTTTCTGTTATTCTTTAAAACAAGCTAATGTTGATAACAAAACTTTAGAATTAGTATTAATTCATTGTAGAGGAATATATCAAAAAGCTAAATCGTTGAATGAGTTATGTAAATATGCTCATATTAGAATTAGAATTGATAAAGAATACAGATAAAACAAATAAACATAAAAATCGTAAAATAGATTATTATGGTTGCGAACTCAAAGATGCTAAATATAATTTAGAAATGTTTTTATATCGTGATTCGGTTATGAAGAAAGATCATTATTTATTAAATATTGATATTCATATTACTTCATTTTATCTTAAAAACAGAGAAGAAATGAATAAATATGCAATTGATCATAATAAAAGTATAGAATCAATGTTTAATAAACAACGATATAATAAAAATAAACAATGTTATGAAGTTAAAGATAAAAATAATAGTTCTATCAAATTATCTGATCTTATTATATATATCAGAGATCATAATGGATATTAACCATATACTCTATCTGATGTTTTACATTTGAAATCGGATTTATCTGAATATGTATTACAATCATTAAATACACTTGAATATCTTCCTTTTGAAACAAAAAACATTGAAGTAAAGGTAAATAAACGTAAAGAAGTAAATCACTCTTATTGGTATGCTGATTTTGAAGCTAGTACACAAGGATATCATATACCATATTGTGTTTGTTATTCTAAAAGAGGTGAAGATAAGATTTATAATAAATATGGTAAAGATTGCGCATATGATTTCTTATGTGATTTACCACATAATGCTGTTTGTTATTTCCATAATCTTAAATATGATGGTTCATTCTTAGCTAAATATGGTGTTAATAGATGTATTAAGAAAGGCGGTAAACATATGCAAATGACATTAAAATTCAAAGGTAAACAATTAACTTTTAAAGATTCTTATGCTTTAATTTCTACATCATTAGCATCTTTTCCAAAGATGTTTGGTTTATCTAATATTCAAAAAGAAATTTATCCATATAACTATTTCAATGGGGTTGATATTGAAAAATAATATGGGTACAATATTAGAAGCTGATAAATATGAAATAAAGCCATGCACTGAAGACCAATTTGAACTATTTAATGAAAATATTGATAAAATTGAGAATTGTAGAATTGATGAATTTCATTTCGATATGAAAGCTTATTGTGTTTTCTACTGTAATCAAGACGTTAGAATCTTAAAACAAGGTCATTCTAAATTTTGAGATATGTGTTTATAATATTTAAATATTGATGTCGATAAAGTAATTTCAGCAGCTAGTCTAGCTAATACTTACTTCAAACATAATGTATATTCAAAGATAGATAATTTAAAAGAATATGGTGGTAAAGTTAGAGAATTTATTCAAGGAGCTATTTATGGAGAAAGATGTATGACTAGAGATAATAAAAAGTGGCATGTAACAGAAGAATTATATGATAATGATGCTTGTTCATTATATCTAAGTGCTATTAACAGATAAAATTAGCAACTGGTTCTCCAATTGTTATTACTGAAGACATGTTACAAATTAACTACTTATTAGAACACTTAATGGAAGAACATCAATTAGAACCTTCAGAATTAAAATTTATTTCAGCATTTATTGTAGATATTGAAATTACAAAAGAAAATAAAGAATTACATTTATATTGATTGTTAAAAAGACTAAAGAAGGAAATAAAAATTCCAATGAATGTTGCATCATGAGAGTAAATAATATGTTATTTGAAAATCTTATTAAATTTCAACAGATTGAATATAAAATTATTAGAGGATATTATTGGACTGGTAATAAGTCTGATTTATTATCTAAATAGATGGCTAAATTGTATAATTTATAAAGATTTTTCAAGAAGCAAGGCAATCTTGTACAAGAAGTATTTAAATTAATTATGAATTCATCATATGGTAAGACTAATCAAAAACCTATTAAAACTGATCTTGTTTATAAACAAATATCTGTTAAAAGTAATAAAGGAGATATTCAATATGATGCTGAAAGATATTTAAGAAAGAACTCATTATTAGTCAAATCATTTTATGATGTTGCTGAAAATATTAGATGCTTTGAATGTAATAAAAGTTTTGATGATTTCTTTGTTCCAAATCTCATTGGTGTTCAAACTCTTACTATGTCAAAACGTATTATGAATGAAGTTATGTGTTTAGCAGAAGATCTAAATATTTCAATTTATTATCAAGATACTGATAGTATGCACATATTAAAATCAAGAATTACTGAATTAGAAGATGAATATTTTTAAAAATATAATAGAGTACTTAGAGGTTCTGATATGGGACAATTTCATCCAGATTTTGATTAATTATCTAGAGATGTTACTAGTATTGAATCATATTTTTTAGGTAAAAAGGCTTATTGTGATAAATTATCTAATGAGAAGAATGAAGTCGCTAATCATCTTAGATCAAAAGGTATTCCTAATAATTTATTAAATTGTCAATATGAAGAATTGACAATTTAATTATATAAGAATTAAATTGTCTTATAAGAATTTATAAGACAATTTAGAATTATATAAGAAACTATATGATGGAGAATCATTTAATTTTAATCTTTTACAACTTAGAGCATCATTCGAATTTACTAAAGATTTTAAAAATAAATCAAGATCTCAATTCTGTAGAAATATTAAATTTAATACTGAATTAGGTTTATTTTAAAAATTTATAAATGTCTTTAAATAAAGAACAAGAATTAACTAAATTTTATAATACTTATAAAGATAAAATAGAATATGCATATAATAATAGAGATAAATTATATGGTGTTCATCCTAATACTGACTCAAAACACAATTTAAAAAATTTTTTATTCTGGTATTTATAATTATTTTAATATTAGTAATAATAGAACACAAAAATTATTAGATGAAATATATGTTATATACATTAATAATAAACAAAGTATAAATACAAGTATAACTAAAATGCAAGTTCCAACTGGTTATCACGAAATTAACAAATATTCAAATACACCCAAATCAAAAGATAAACAGATAATTCAATCTACAGAATTAGAATTAAATGCTGAAATAAGACCACAACCAACTATTAATCCACTTGGTTCAACTACCACCATAGCTATCTATCCAAACACAAATTATATTAAGAAAGATAGAACAATAAAACAATTATTTAATGCAGATATGAATCAATATGTTTCATCATTAGATAAAAATATATATACTTATTACAATAACAAAGATATAATTTATTCTAATAATTTTAAACCATCTCCAGATAAATATAATATTTATAATAAGAATATTGCTTATAAATTTGTTGCTTTACCTAATACATATATGTTTGAAATTTTATATTTTCTGATAAATATAAAAGAGTATCTCAACAAAAATATGATAAACCATCTGTAAAAATAGATTTTGATCACAGAATACATAAAAATACTCAATTAAGTCCTTATCTTATTGGCATTAATGTTAATACTAGATATAGTTTTTTATTAAAATTGAAGATAAATCTACTATTTCAATAATTGAAGGTTTTGATAAATTATTTGAACAAGGTTTAATTATGAATAATTTAATATTTGATGGAGAAAGAGGAATATCTTCTTTAGAATTTGGTGAATATGCAAATAAACACAATTTTAAACTATTTGTTACAGCACCTAAGATACATACAAGTACAGCATTAATTGATAATTATGTAGAACTATTAGAAGGTTATACGTCAAATATTATATTTTAAATGATGATGAATATAAAAATATAATTAATTCAAGATCATTTCAAAACATGAAACGAAAAGAATTACTTCAATACATGACTAAAATACGTCAATTATTTAATGAAGGAAATAAATCTAAAATCACTCCAACACCTACTACAGAAGAAGTTTATAAATTGGTTGAATATTATAATAATAGTTGTCATAATGGTTTAGTAAAAATATTTCAAGAATGTAAAAAATTATATAATTTTTATTATATTGATCCAAAATATATAAAATCAAATATGATACAAAATGATAAAATGTTAGAGAGAATAATTATATCCTATTGTCAACAATATAATCAAAAAATACGAAATAAATTTAAAAAATCAAAATATGATTTTGACATTGATGAAGATGTTATTTTATTTGATATTGAAGATGGAAATTTAAGAAAAAATAATAAATATATTGATTCTAAAAATTGGAAAATTTCCTTTCCATATGGAAATAATTATGAAATTTATAATGAGGATAATGATAAATACGAATCTAAAATTATATCTAGATATTTATGAGAAAAGACTTTTAGAAGACATGATTTATAAATTATTTGACTTCATATTTTTATTTTTTTTTCACAATAAATGAGTAAAGAATTTGACGATAAAGGATATGGCATAACAAAATTAGCACCAAAAATTGATAATTATGGAACTAAAAAGGGATATGATAATCAAGATGTTATCGATTTTTCAACTATGGAACCAGGTGATGTTAGTGCTAAATATCTAAATTTAGGTGGTACAGATCTTGCTAGTGATAAATATCAATTAAAATACAATAAAGAACATTTAGACCCAAAGCTTTTCGTGTTTATTGTGCCAATAATAATTTAACTCCTTATAAGTATGATTTAGATGGAGATCAAATAGATGATTATGTTGGAGTAGACAATACAAATCATATTAAAGCTTTTAATGAATTTAATGTTTCAAAACCAGGTAATTCACAAAGACCATACCAAAAGAAATATTATGACCAATACAATAAATGTCAAAGAAAAGAAGTTCCTTATTTAAATTATCTAGGATTATTACCAGTCTCTGATAATGTCGAAGGATATGCAAGAGTTGGTCGAGGTAGTGGATTTTCGAAATCACTTAATACTACCGATTATAAAATTAGAGAATATTTATCTAAAATTTTAAATTATGAATATATTTCAATAGGTAGTCAAGTAATTAGAAATGTAATTAATTCAATACTTTTTGGAGAAAATATATTATCACCAGTATTTAAAGTAAAATTAAATTTCATAAAAAGTGATAATTGGGATAAAAAATAACTGATTCATTCATGTCTTCATTATTACCTGGAATTATTAATAATGAAGCTAATACAGTAATATTTAAACAAATAATGAAAGGTATTTCATCATCTTTTGCTGGCGGTTATAAAGATAATAAAGGATTGATAGATAATTTAAAATCTAATATACCAAATATCAAAACAATTAAACCAATGAGTGAAGAAGATTAAAATCAAATTTATACATATATTATGAAAAAGAAAAAGAACAGTATTCTTATTTCAGAAATGAAAAAATCATCAAAAGAAATTAATACAACACAAGATATTGCAGAACTTAGATCAAAAGCACAATATAAACTTGATAAATTAGTAACTAAAGAAGCATTAAAAGCTGGTATCGCAGTTGAATAAAATATATAAATATATGTTTATTTTTTTGTTTTATAAAAAAAGAAAATTATACATGAATTTACATAATAATAATTGCAAAGTAATAAATATATATCAATTTGAAGTTGAATTACCAATTGAATTTGTTTCTTCTACTAATAATAAATGTATTAATACTATTGCTACAAGATTCTATAATTCATTAAGTCATATTGATTGTGGAAATATTTTAAGAAGTGATTTTAATTCAAGTAATGATTATCCTTCACAAGATGGATTTATCATTTTTGCTAACGGTGATAATCAAAAATCATTTGAAATCAAAGACAATAAACGAAAAATAAAAATATGGTTTACTGATTACAAAAATAATATAAACAATATTGATTCAGATTATTATTTCATTGTTCAGTTAGAGTTAGTGTTTTGAAATAGATTAAGACATCTTTTCTAGAATAACAATTTTTATAAACAGTACTTGATTCAAAACTGTCATAAATTGTAGTTGTGGTAGTTCTTCCTAATGAATTAATAATATATGTTTTATAATCTGTAAAATTAGAAACAGTTTTGGATGACATATATATTTTTAGTGAAGAACCTTGACATATTTCTGTAATGGATGATGTATTTGTAATTTGTAAATTTGGTTCTATTAGATATATCTGATTACTATCTATAGTTATATTATTCCACATTAAATATGGATTACTTCCTGAATAATTAACACCAGGATAAAATAAATTATTAAGATTACAATATAAATAAACACATATTGGTTTAGTTGTTATTGATATTATGTTACTATTTGATGTAAAATTCTTTGGTAAATATAAACTGAAATAATTAAAACAATAATATCCATCACCCCATAAATAACTAACTGTATCTGTATTATTGTTATTGGATGCTCATTTACATTAAATATATTTTGTACTGTTGTATATATTTTTCCATTTAACATACTTCCACCACTAACTTGTTCATAACTTTATAAATTTCATTATTAATAATTACATATG